TCCAACTCTTCTTCTTCTTCTTCTTCTTCTTCTTCTTCTTCTTCTTCTTCTTCTTCTTCTTCTTCTTCTTCTTCTTCTTCTTCTTCTTCTTCCTCCTTCTCCTCCTCCTCCTCCTCTCCTCCATTTTACCCTCACGACAGCCCTGTGAGGTAGGTTTGGCCGAGAGTGTGTGATGGTCCCAAGGTCACCCGGCGAGCTTCCATGGGGATTCGAGCCTGGGTCTCCCAGATCCTGGCCCGACAGCCTAACCACTACCCCATGCTGCCTCTGCTCTCCTTCTGATTGCTTTGCAGTCATTGACCTGCTGGAGGCCCTCAACGTCACCCGCTCCATCGAGGGAGTCACCAGGGCCAAGGGCCCCGATCGGGGGGTGCCGGCCTGGAAGTTCCGCCAGCGGGTGCCCCACCTGACGCTCCCCTGGGACTACTCCGTCTACCTGCTGTCCACGGTGCAAGCCGCCCTGGGATTCCACTTCGTGGCCCGCCAGAGCCGTGGCTCAGAGGGAACCCTCATCTCCTTGGTGTCTCCGGCCGCCACCAAGCGGGACGGGCGCCCGCTGCTGCAGCTGGTGTCCAGCACCCGGCTTGACCAGCTCCGCCTGGACTACCGTGCCGTCCACAACATGGAGCCGGCTTCCTTGGTCTTCCCCGGCGGCAACCCTTTCGCCCATGGCCACTGGGCACGGCTGGCCCTCAACCTGGAGCCTCACCGCATCTCCCTCTTCGTGGACTGCCGGGAGCCGGTCGTCTTTGAGAAGGGCGGCGGGGAAGAGGTGCTGAGCCTCATCCTGCCCCTGGACCTGCACATCACCTTTGCCAGCTTGTCTGGAGACAAGGCCAGCAAGTTCTTGGTAAGACCGCTTGACTTCGCTGTACGGGTGCTTTGCCGTCGTGAGCTTGTGGAACTCCCTGTCACAAGGCAGGACATTGATGGGTCCTAGCATTGATTCTCTGGGCACATTCACAGAAGAGGGAGGTTAGGACTGTTGAAGGCAATTGTTTATTAGATTGGATTTATTTAAAACATTTCTATGCTGCCTTTCCACCCAAACAGCTCCCCCCAAGGGAGCTAGGATCAAAACATACCAGACATTAAAACAGCATGTAATGATTCCATTTTTGGTGTGTGTGTTTCTTTAAATGTTTAGTGTGACTGCAGTAAGGAGAGTGATAGAGGGAGACAAGTGTGATGTGATTGGCTGACGACTGAGAGTGTGGGAGGAGAGACACCTATGAAGTGATTCAGTGTTCGTGAAGAGATGAGTGTGAAGAGTTTGTGTGAAAGTCTGTATGTCAGAGGAAGCATATGGCCTGTGTGGCTGTATGAGCAGGAGAGTTCAGCCTGTGTGGCTATATAAGCAAGAGAGTTCAGTCTGTGTGGCTATGAGTGAGAGAGTTTATCCTGTGTGGCTATATGAGCAAGAGAGTCCAGCCTGTGTGGCTATATATGAGAGAGATAAGCCTGTCAGAATTGAGTTTTGGTGTATGAGAGACTGTGCGTGATGCCAAGCTTTGTCAGTTATGTTTTCTTTCTTCAACAACAGTTCAAAAACACCCAGAAACCTATTTTGTTCTTATAAATAAATCACTATTTGGTGAAACGTATCCCAGCAATCAGAACAGTCCTTCTTCAGGGCCACATAGTCCTCGGCTTGATCGAACCATCCCGACAGCATGAGAGCGCGCTGGAGCGATCAGACAGGGGAAAGTCCGTCTGTAGCCCGTCGCAACCCATTTACTTCTGGATTTTCTCCAATCTCTTTTAACTCCGCTTCTGCGGTGGAGCAGAACAGGTTGCCAACGGCTGCAGGACACGTCCCAGATGTTGTTCTCTGATCGCTCCCTTTAAAAATCCGCCACGCCTATGTTGGGTCGAATTGTGCATTTGATCGCAGCCACGTTAGTCTGTCCGTAGCAGCAGAAAAGAGCAAGAGTCTAGTAGCACTTTAAAGACAAACCAAATTTGTGGCAGGGGAGGCGCGCTCGTGAGTCACCACTCACTTCTTCAGATACCGCTAGAATGTGTTCCGTTCCGTAAAATGAAGTATATATAAGAACATAAGAACATAAGAGACGGCAATGTTGGATCAGGCCAAAGGCCCATCCAGTCCAACACTCTGTGTCACACAGTGGCCAGAAACACCAGGTGCCATCAGGAGGTCCACCAGTGGGTCCAGGACATTAGAAGCCCTCCCACTGTTGACCCCCCCCAGCACCAAGAAGACAGAGCATCCCTTACCTCAGACATAAGAACATAAGAGAAGCCAATGTTGGATCAGGCCAAAGGCCCATCCAGTCCAACACTCTGTATCACACAGTGGCCAAAAATACCAGGGGCCACCAGGAGATCCAGCAGTGGGGTCAGGACATTAGAAGCCCTCCCACTGTTGACCCCCCCCCAAGCACCAAGATGACAGAGCATCCCTGGCCCCAGAGCCCCTATCTATACCTTGTGGCTAATAGCCACTGATGGACCTCTGCTCCATATGCTTATCTAATTCCCTCTTGAAGCCGTCCATGCTACAGACTTCCTGTAGCAGGGAATTCCATATATAAAATAGACAGTTCAATAAACACACGTGCACACATAAAACAAGCGTGGATAATGGCCAATAACAGTTATTTGGAGTAAGCCAAACAAAACAAGAGTCGTCAACCGCTGGCAGAAGACAAGACAGGTCTTTGGAGGGAGCTCCAAATGCTTAGTGTTGCGATAGGGAAGTCTCTCTCTCCGGTTGCCAAATCTGAAGGAGTGAGCGGTGACTCAGGAGAGCTCCTGTCACTAGCATAATACGCCACACTGAACAGCAGAAACTCATTCGGATTGGCTACATTAGGGGTGTGTGGCCTAAGATGCAAAGGAGTCCCTGCTGCAAAAAAAGGCCCTGGGTTTGGACAACAAACAAGGTAAACAGAATAAGAAGCAACAGGTGGGTGTGGCTGGATGACCACACTTCTGGTAACAAGGGGTGTGTGGCCTAATATGCCAATGTGCGGTGCTGTCATGGGTGTGGCCTATTATGCTAATGAGTTCCTGCTGGGCATTATCGCAAGAGTGCTAATGTTTGAAGCCTGTTTTTAAGTAAAAACAACCCTTTGTGTTTGTGTCCATTGTAAAGTTTCTATCTCCGCTACCCGGCATGACGTTTTATGACAGACGTGGCCGGCCCAACAAGGTCTCACTTATGTCAGATCCGGCCCTCGTAACCAATGAGTTCGACACCCCTGTTTCAGGGTGACTCTCTCTGTCTGTTTCTGCAGGGCTATTGGCAGACAGCTGAGATCTCGCCCAGTGGATTCCCACAACGCCCCTGGCACTGTGAGAACCTACCAGGTACGTGCTTGGGGACAGGAGGAGAGATGACAGTGGTGTGTGTGGACGTGTGTATTTCTGTTGGGGAAGAGGAGCATGAGTCCATGTGTACCCCCAGGGGGAAGGCCCTGTGATGGGGATTGCAACCAGGCGATAGGTGTGCCCACAGGGTTGCCAGCTCTGGGATGAGAAATACGAGGCGATTTTGGGGGTGGAGCCTGGGGAGGGCAGGCCTCGAGAAGGGAATTTTTGTTGTTGTTCAGTCGCCCCGTCGAGTCTGAGTCTTCGCGACCCCCTGGACCACATCACGCCAGGCCCTCCTGTCTTCCGCCATCCTCCGGGGTATGCTCAATTTCATGTCCGTTGCATCGATGACACTGTCTCACCATCTGGTTAAGTGTGCAGACTCTAACCCGGGAGAACCGGGTTTGAGTCCCCACTCCTCCACTTGCAGCTGCTGGATGACCTTGGGCAGGCCACAAGTTTATAATTTTGAATATTTTTAATTGTTTAAATGCTTTTTATGTGTGCCACCTTGGGGCTCTGATCATCCGGAAAGGTGGCACACACGTGTTTTGAACAAATAAATATATACAAATTGTCCCGCAAGTAAAACCGTAGGGATAAAGGAGTGTCCATTACTCTTTGGGTGAGTAAGGACTTCCTTTTTGTTTTGTTGTTCAGTTGCACAGTCGAGTCCGACTCTTCGCGACCCCATGGACCACATCACGCCAGGCCCTCCCGTCTTCCGTCGTGCTCTGGGGTTTGCTTAACTTCATGTTCATTGCCTCAATAACACGGTCTGACCATCTTTGACCTTCCATCTTTCCCAGCACTATCAGGGTCTTCTCCAGTGAGTGACCCCTTCTCATTGGGTGGCCAAAGTATTTGAGCTTCAGCTCCAGTATCCGGCCTTCCAGGGAACAGTCAGGGTTGATTTCTTTTAGGATTGACTGATTTGATCTCCTCGAAGCTGCGGTGGCTCAAGTGGTTAAGACCCTGAACTGCAGGCTGTGGAAGGTCAGTAGTTCAGCAGTTTGAGACCCGGGTGCCTCATGACAGAGCGAGCTCCTATCTCTAGTTCCAGCTCCTGCCAACCTAGCAGTTCGAAAGCAAGAAATTGCAAGAAGATAAATAGGTACCACTTCGGTGGGAAGGTCACAGCGTTCCGTGCACCTTGGTGTTTAGTCATGCCGGCCACATGACCACAGAAACGTCTTCGGACAGCGCTGGCTCTTCGGCTTTGAAACGGAGATGAGCACCGCAACCCTAGAGTCCGACTCGACTGGCTTTCGAGCAAGGGAACCTTTACCTTTACCTAGTTCAGGGGACTCTCGAGAGTCTCCTCCAGCGTCATAATTCGAAAGCATCGATTCTTTGGCGCTTGGCCTTCCTTATGGTCCGGTCCAGCTCTCACAGCCGTCCATGAATACTGGGAAGATCATCGCTTTGACCATACGGACTTTTGTTGTTGGGGGTGATGTCTCTACTTTTTATGATGCCGTCTAGGTTTCCTGTCTAGGCAGGAAGGGGAGAGACCTCAGCAAGGTACAAGGGCCACAGAACCTACCCTTCGAATGTCCCGTTTTCTCCAGGGGAACTGATCTCGGTACTCCGGAGAACAGTTGTGATAGCAGGAGGTCCCCAGGTACCACCTGGAGGTTGGCACCTGTCGATACAGGGCAAGCTTGGAGGCAAGTTGAAAGGAGCACGGAGCCAGAGAGGAAAGTTGGGGGAGTTTTCTTCCCCATCCAGCTCTTGTCCTCTGTGCTGAGATCCCAAACAGCTGGGCCAGATGTTCCTTGTCAGGGGCAGCTAAGAATCGAAGGTTTCGGAGAAGATCCAGCGGCATGCAGGGGCGCGGAGATGGGGCCGGCGTCCAGGATCCATGCTGGGTCGCGGGGCCGGAGCGGAAATGTCTAGCTGGAAACGACAACAGAACTTCACGTTTCTGGCCGCTTCTAAGCCAGCCCCAGTGGTGTCTCTAAGAATCTGATCAAGAATTTGTGGCACGGGAGGAGCTCGTGGTTAAGTGCGGGAACTCTAATCTGGGAGAACCGGGTTTGATTCCCCACTCCTCCTCCACCTGCAGCTGCTGGTGTGACCTTCGGTCAGTCACAAGTTCTCTCGGAGCTGTCCTCTCCAGGGCAGTCCTCGAGAGAGCTCTCTCGGCCCTGCCCACCTCACAGGAAGTGCTCCCTCTAAGCTGCGGAGTCTTGTGAGCAAAAATTCTACTTTGTGAGTGACTGGCATTAAAGTTGTGAACGAGCGATTTGGCCACTGTATAAATGAATTTGCTCTGGAGCCCTCCTTCCTAAGCGGCAGTGTTCCCTCTAAGCTGAGTTAGTGAGAGCCAGCTCACAGTTTTTTAGCCTCAGGCTCACACATTTTTGTCCTAGCTCAGAAAGGAGGACTCCAGAGCAAACTCATTTATGCAGCAGCCACGTTGCTTGCTCACAACTTTAATGCCCATAGCTCACAAAGTAGAGTTTTTGTTCACAAGACTGCACAGCTTAGAGGGAACATTGCTGAGCAGAGACAAAAATCTGTGAGCTGGAGGCTAAAAAATTGTGAGCTAGCTCACACTAACTCAGCTTAGAGGGAACACTGCTCACAGGGTGTCTGTTGTGGGGAGGGGGAGGAGACTGTAAGCCGCTCTGAGACTCCTTCAGGTAGTGAAAGGTGGGGTATAAATCCAATCTCCTCCTCCTCCTCCTCCTCCTCCTCTTCTTCTTCTTCTTCTTCCTGAGTCACTGGGGTGGAGCCTGGGCAGGTTGGGGGTTGGGAAGGAAAGGGACTTCCATGGGGTACAAGCCATAGAGTCCACCCTCCAAAGCAGCCATTCCCCCCCCCAGGGGAACGGATCTCTGACATTCTGGCATTCCTCGAGGTGATTGGCATTCCCCTAGGTGCACTCCTTGTTTGCCCCAGCAGATCCCAAACTGTCACCGTCTCAGAAGACATCTAGGGCGAGACAGCATCCTCTGTCCGGCATGATCTTCTGTGGGTCTCATGCTATACATCAGGGGTTATTTGGTAGGAAAAGAGGTGCTGGAGCTCATTAGCATAACTCATTAGCATAACTCATTTGCATATGCCACACCCCCTGACATCACCGGGAGTGTGTCAGAAGGCAACACCCACCGCTCAGGCTCCACTGGACTGTTTTGCATGTGTGGGGGGGGGAAACGTGCAGATCTGTCCTCACAGAGGAGGGAGAGCTTGTACCTGAACAAAACTTGGTCTTAAAGGTGCCACTATACTGTTTTGGATTGCTAGCTATTGGAGGGGTGTGTGTGCAGATATGCCCTCACAGAGGAGGGAGAGCTTGTACCTGAATAAAACTCTGTCTTAAAGGTGCCACTGGACTGTTTTGGATTGCTAGCTAGCTTCTTGCTCTGACTGAGGGCTGCTGGGAGCAGGGGGCGGGGCTTGTTGCATGTGCCCACACCCCGGGCTCTTTACTGCCGGAGCTCCGCTCCTGTGCGCTCCCGCAGGAAATCACCCCTAGCCCCAGCAGATCCCAAACTGTCACCGTCTCATCCTGCCTTCCTCCAGAAGACATCTAGGGCAAGAGAGGATGCTCTCTGTCCGACGTGATCCTCTGTGGATCTCATGCTACACATTAAGAAAGTCAGTTCCGGGATTTAGATCCAACTGTTCTTCCTTCTACCCTGGTCTCC